CCTCTACTTGTCCTTTTAGTCTCGAATTTTCAGCAACCAGTCGCTGAATAATCTCCTCGTAACGGTCCGACTGCTGGAAGATTGCATCGGCCACCCATTTAGTAACCTTGTTTGTGTCGCTAAGTACGACGTGTCTAAGGTCACGAGTGATCGATTTCGCCTCATCCAGCGCATCTCTAGAGGAGATTTTTGAGGCTTCGGTTGCCTTCTTCTCTTCCGCTCGTCTCAAGCGTTTACTTCTTCTCTCTCCTTCTTTATCTACATCGTCTTCTTCTTCGTTCTACTTGTTTAGTTCTTCAACCTTGATCACCTTTGGCCCTTTTCCTATTTTTTCACATACCACATACAATTCCTTACCGCCCCTTTTGGTTGTATCCATCATCATATTTTATCTCTTTCTTTTCTCTGTCTTCCCTTCATTCATCTTCATAAGTTTCTTTTGCTTCATCCTTTCTTCTTCTACCTTCTCCATCCTTTTTTCCTTCTTAATCTTTTTTTTATTTTTAGGAGGATGAGAAGTGGAGGGTATCGTTAGTGTAGACATCATACCCCTCTCGTTTCCATTCCTATCAGATGATTCGATAGGGGATCGAGATCTAGAGTTGGAACGAGAGCGTTCGGGCCCAGAGTGCGAGGTGTTAGTGGTCTCACTAAGCTGTGAGTAGCGGTTTATTTTAAAAAAGTTTTTTGTTTAGTCTGCCATCTGGTTCTTACCCCTTTCCTATTAAGGCTGGCAGGACGTCCTCCAACCAACCAACCAATTCCTCTGAAGGGTATGTAACCCGTGTAGTTATAAAAGTGTATGCTCCTTGTATATTGTGTTAGTGTTAGTATAAGTGTGTGTGTGTATATATGAGTACATGAGTATGTTTTTTGGACCGTTGTACGTGTATCAATATAAATGAAAGGATTTAGGACACCTTCCAACCGTTTCAGAAAGAGCAACATATAGGGATGAACTAACTGGTCCGCGGGGCAGCGCACCATACCCGGTAAGGCGAGTATGGTGCCTTACCATCCTCGTGGTCAGACAATAAAGCCAAGCCCCCAGTTCCTATGATCACAACGTACCGTCACTACGTCCGGTGAGAGTTGCTGAAGTGATCAAAGGGAGTTCCGGTAATTAGGAAGTAGGCGTCGTTAACCCACTCCCAGCTCAGGGACCCCGGGTGCGCTAAACCCGTGAACTTGCGTATAAAACGTGAGTTCCCCATACTCTCAAGAGATTTAAGGAAAATATCTATTCTAGAAAGAACATATTTATAAAAAAAATTTATATCAAAAGTATTTATAATAAAACGTATTATTATAATAAATGCACAGTTAGGAAAAAATTAATCCAAAAATTGTTTTAAATTTCTTATCTATTTATTATTTATACTAATACGATTTTTAATAATATGACCATAAAATTACAATATAAATTGAAACTGCTATGCAAATTGAACAGATAAAACCGTACAATATATATTGTATGATTCTATGGTTCAATGGGTTAACAGCATCGCAACTTATCATCGCGAACTGGAATTTAGAGACACAGTAGGTATGAGCAGCAAACTATATACTCAAATTACAATTGAGCCAGGAGATGCAATAGGATTGCACAGTAGACAGCGTGTTTAGACATCAATTTTGTTCCGTCGATAATGCAGAACTAGCAGAAATACCGTCGTGTTCGGAACATTCGCTGTAGAATCGTAAATACTACATCAAAAGTAACAAACGACGATATTTTTCAATGGAGAATTTTACGCTCTACAACTTTTGTTTGAACTTTTCTCTAGTATTCACAATTATTAACGAATTATTTGCAAAAAACTTAAAATTTTTTCATATTTCCCAGAGGTTTCCACGGCTACTTTTTAAGGTATAGCTTCCTTATATCGGAAGGAACAAAATATCAAAAAAGGTGCTGCGTGGGTGAAATTTCATTTTCAGAGCTACATTGACTGGACTAGATCACAAGTTTCACTAATAGACACATCTAAATTTAAATTATCATTACTGACTGTCATTTCTACGTCACTAAGCATATTTTAATCACAATAAATATCTGAAATATTGCTAGCAATTGATGAATCCTTATATTTTTTCTACATGTTGAACAAAATTATTTCACTGGATGAAGACGTATCACTTGCATAAGCTGGTTTAAATTGATTCAAAACATCTGTGGGAATACTATTTTCTATATCTCTTAATAGCAAGTCATTTTGTACATTTCTACTCTCTATGCTCAAGCTTTCAGTAGACATAACATCATCAGTTGATCTATTGTTTCTAATGTTTTGTTGTTTGTTTGACATGCACTTAGTGTAGTCAATCTTATCTGGATTAAAAGGGTACAAACCACAATTTTCGAATTCCTTTTTAATTACTTGGGGTGTGCAAGCTTTTTATAGTCCTCGTGAAATATTGGAGCAAGGTTGATTTTGGTTACAAGTTTTGATGACTTGTGAATGTGATGTAACTTCTTTCTTCCATTGGATTTTCCATGGCCTAAATATACCAACATTATATGATTGTATGATATGAGTAACATTAGGGCACAATAAGTATTCCCTTTTCTACACAAAGTCGTGCAACTCCAAACTTATACGTGAACTGTGTCCATGAAACAATAGTACAACTGAAAATTTAACATTCCTTTCAACGAACATTTTATAAAATTCATTCATTATCAAATAGCGGCCTAATACCGTTACAATCTCTTTCTCTTGTCCTGAAGATATATAATACACATTTTTTTCCTTTACTAATATAAGTAATCTATAAGTCTTTGGACACAATTGCACTCCCGTTTCATCTAAGTTGAAGATACGAATAGGATCTTCTAATATGTCTACTACATTTTGCTTACTTAAATAATATTTAACATCAACGATCCACTGTCGAAGATTATGCTCCGTCTCGAAGACTCTACTTTTTGACAGAATTTGAGTGTGTTTCAAGTCAATTTCCGAATGGCACTTAAAAATAACTTAAATTTGACCCTGGTAAATTGTCCTTGAATAGATTGGCTCTTGGAACTTTATCTAATACTATTTTGACTACTAGTTTAACGTCACTTGGATGCATAGCATAACCTATGGAGGCATTGTCGATGATCCACCGCTTGATCCTTAACTTTTCATCACTAGTCAACACTGATGGAGGCCCTCTTTTCTGCATTGCACTAGAATCTTTATGTAACTTATTTATTAAGGTGCTTTTGAGTATTCTATACTCAGAGCAAGCTTTGTTTATACTCAAAGCACGAGACTGTACTTTATCTAAAGCTTCCTCAAGAACATCTTGTGTGTACTTTTCAGTGTTATATTTACATCTTTTATTACAAACTTGACTGTGAGGTATTTTTTTATTAGTTTTACGTTCAACTTTAACCATTCCTTATATAAAGTAAACCTAAATACTACAGTAATCCAAATCTACTTATTAGTAATGTAACGCCTGGTCAAAAACTGGATACACAGTTGCCAGTAATTGACCAGCCTGCATGGAACGGTCCAAAATTGTAATGGAGCTTCTAAAATAGATCTAATTAAATGACCGTATATTTTCTCGAATATTTCAATTTTCCGATCATTTTAATGCTTAAGAGACATTAGTTTACAAAAGAAATTATATTTTTTTTGTCCAGTATCGAATATTTTATCAAAAATGTGATTCCATTTTACGTACTTTGTGACATGAACTTTTTTCCACTTCGTTACGTAAAATATAGATAAATTCCAATAAGCAGCATCTAGAATATTTTTTTTCAAGCAAATTATTACATCAATCTAATTAGCGGTGGTTATTAAAGATTACTAAGAATAATTCAAAAAATTTTTAATGGTCATACATTCTTTTTTATATTTAAACAATAGATTTTTCTACAGTGGTCAATTACCTAGTCAAAAACTAGGTCATTTACCTCTACGGAAAATCCTAAGCTTTGCTAAAAAAACCGGTAAAAGAGGAGCAGAATAAAGTTTTTACATGAAAACGCATCAAGCAGCTTGTTTTAGTTGTAAGAAATTTTGTCATAGGTCCTCAGATAGTCGCAAAAACCATTTATAGTCCAGATGGTTTTAAAGGCAAGTATAAATGCTTGCATGTTCAATATAATGGATTTTCAATAAATTTCTCTATAGAAAGTACAAATGTCAAATAATACATTAAAAAAATAATTAAATTTGATTATAAAAAATTAGTGTATTCTATTGTCATTTTCAATAAAAAAATCTTATGCTGATTAAAAAAAAATTTGAAATTTTATTTTGAATCAAAATCAAATAGAATTTGTATCTATATAAACTTTTCTCCATTGATTAATTAATTTTTACCTCTATCATTGACAATATTCTATTTTTCTATGGCTGAATGCCAATCATATACCTTATTAGGAGGGTACACTTAGCAGATCACTTTGACCAACAATAACTAAAAAAAGCAAAGTTTAACCGAGTACATAGCCTATGACACTTTATTTTTAAAACAGTTTAGAAGTGTCTATATATTATATTTTCTTAGTTTGTCAAAAATTACAACTTAAAATTTTCATCTTGAACATATTTTATGCACTTCTAAACCTCTGTATATACGTGTGCTTATAAACATGTCATGAGCTCATGCTTGCTATGTTAATGTTATTGATTAATGAAAATATACTCATATTGTATATTGTGTGATTTTACCTTGATTTCCTGGCTCTAGTCATTATTTTAAATATAATATAGCACTATCCCAACTGAATTTTACCTTCTTTGCTTACTACTTACATAAGAATTTTTTTTATATCTAATATTATCTAATATTTTTCTGAAAGGATGGAGGTTTACAAAATATAAGTGAATGAGAAGTTTTTTATAGTAAACATTTTTTTAGCATACAGTTATAAAAGCTGATAGCTTAATAAGAAATTTATATTTTGTCTTAGTAAACAATCACTTGAAATGTATGTCTAAGATAGACATTATAATTTTAATGATAAATTAGTTTGATAATCTACTTACGATACATTGTACCCAGTTTTCTTTTTAGTTGATATTGAATTAGAAAAATCAGCATTGACTGAACTCAAATGTTTATCTTTGAATTTATGAAAAGCATCTATAGTATTGACATATATTTTTTCTATTGAATCATTATCTTCCTGTAATAATAAAAAAATTAAAATAATATTTCAATAGTTTCCATATTTTGATTGAATAATTTTGTTGAGTCAATATATTTACTACATTTATTAGAATTGTAATTATTTAATTTTTTAAATAGTCTTATAAAACTTTTTTTAAAAAGAAACTACAGTAATATTTGTAGTATAATATAACTATATATAATAACTTTATTTTATTATAAATTTTATTATAAATTTATTGCTTTCTATATAGCACAATAATTTCTTCAAATTTTATTTCATATAGGTTAATCATTTTGAAACAGATTGCAATTGTAAATCATTGTATTTATTGAAAAAAGTTGTATTGAAAAATTAACACTTATCAATATATACTTGTAATCACTATTAATTAATAAAAAGCATTGATTTGATATCAGTAATACTACCTCTGTACAGTCTTGAAAAGTATCAGTTGCAAGATCTTCAGTCTCATAAACATCAGGTTGATCATAGGCCTGGAATACAAATAAACTTCAATATTTGTAAATATCTAAAGAAATTTTATTTCAAATATTTAATATTTTGACTCCAAATTTTGAAAAAATAAATCCAATAAATAATGACATTAATGATTAAAATCTGAAAGAAATGCATTTTTAATGTCAAAATTAATAAAAAAAAGTATCTAGATGATTAAGAAACTACTATCATTGAAACGCTCACAATTCCTGGTAAATCCGCATATTTTGGATCAATCATGTTCACAGAATAAATTCCTTTTTAATATGGTTGAATGATGAAAAATATATTTATTTATTTATATATATATATATATATATATTTATATATATACATATAAATAATTATCAATTCTAAACTAATAAATAATTAGAATCAATAACTTCGAATGAACGAGTAATTTTTTGTTTTACTCGTATACAACAATGATAAGAAAATTAGAAAGAAACAAGGTTATTTTTATGCAATTTAAAAAAATTTAGTGAAGTATTTTATATTTTATATATGTTTGTGGAGATTTATATATTATATTTATACAAGAGGAGAGAGAGAGAGAGAGAATAAGCTCAGAGAGCATAACATATAAGGGTGTTGACAGAACGATTCTGACACTTAAAAAATGACATGATTTCTGACACCATGACAGGTTGAAGAATATGTTATGAGCCACTGCGTAGCAAGCCATGCGCAGGTGATTTCTAGGGTTTTTTAAGTGGCACGTATTTTTAATACGAAGTGATAAAAATGAAAACAAACAAAAACATTACAATACATATTACCCAAAAACAAACGATAAATTTTTATAAATTGACTTCTTTGGCTAGCACATTTTATTAATAATAAAAAATTGACATTTTTCACATACAAATTTTAAATTTTAACATTTCAATTTAATATGGATCGCTCAACAGAATTTATTCCTATTATACTATGCATAGTTTTATATAACTGTGAAACTTTACTATCATGTAAAATCTAATACTATTAAAGATAATGTTATCTGAAAAATTTATTTTCGTATTTTTATAACATTAGCCGTAGTATGCATATTTGATACTAGTATCTAAATTGCAAATAATACATTGTAAATAATATTTTTCATTACATTGTGAAACATTCTATATAGAGCTAATTTTATAATATAATTGTTACAATAAATCCAGTTATATAAAAACAAACTTTATTCTACATTTCATTTCAGGGTATTCTTTTCAAATTATCTTTTTACATATTTTCAGAAGCTTCTTTGAAAAAATATAACGTTATACATACATATATAATTTGCATTTCTCTAATTTATGGTTTATAAAGCTCTAAAGATTAAATGCTGAAGTTTTAATTAACCACTTGCCATCATAGTTAAAGCATTGATTTAGTAATAGAAAATCAAAATAAGTAGAAAAGGAGTCTTTGCTATGTTATGCCTAGACGAGGAGATGTTATGGCTCGACGTAGTAATGTTTAAAATATTGTCGCGTTGGTAAAAGTTGGATCTTAGTCAGGAATTAAGCGGAAGTTAGTTAAAGGAATAGTGCCTTTATTACATATGTAGGATGTTTAGGTAGATAAGTTAGTTTCTTACCTGGTTAGGACTGGGCTTCAGAAGAGATTTTACGAAACCGTCTTAGGTGTTTACACTTAATTAAGATTGATTGTTGAAAGACAAGCTTATAATGCTTAGCAGAGTATAATTCTCGTTCTAAATATCCGGGTAGCGAAAGAGAAATAATACAATAACTAAATTACTGAGTTACTACTCTTTTACTGAGTGAGTGAGAATCAGTATAAGTACGAGTATGAGTATTAGCTTGAGTATGAGCTATCGCGGATCATGATCCAGCCTTTTTAGACCATAGGCTGATGTGCCCCTTCCCTTGATTTTGCTAAATTAATATGCGGTGAGTAATATTCGCGGAAATATTATGGAGAACGTGCTTAGCCTAATCTATCTCGCTAGATAGATTTACAAATGTTCCCGGGAGGATTGATACGACAGAAAATTAAATTATCGATACCCAATTAGTTACCATAACCCGTCATGTGTGTTCTCGTGATACTTAATTACTTATCATGGTTCGTCACATACGTTTTCTTAGTATCGACGTGACATGCCCACCCCTCGGAGTCCTTTGCTGATAAAGCAAGGGACTAGCACTCTCCGAGCGCTGTTGTAATTATTCTATACATATATATATTTTTGTTTGTGTGATGTCTCTTTTTTGTCGTATGTGTGTGTGTGTGTGTGTGTGTGTGTGTGTGTGTGTGTGTGTGTGTGTGTGTGTGTGTATTATTATCTTTTTTTGTCTTATTATTCTATATATATATTTTTAGTGTATTTTTTGTTTGTTTGTGTTTTTTTTAATATTTATTTATTTATTTAGAAATAGGAAGGATTTGGGAGAGGATTATAGCAGCTCTAAACGGTGAACCTGCAAGCTTCTCTGAAATCTAAACAAAACCTACTTGCCGATACACCTGGCGCAAGGAGCGTTGGGAAGCATAAAGTGTTCTGGGCTGACGCATTCTGCCTCCATGGCCAGTTGTTGGTACATCGGTGCAGCTGCCACACGTGCTCAGCAGTAAAAACAGCCTTGCCAGTGTGCGGTGTCCTGCTGGCAGAGGCGGCACGGATGGAATGGAGATCGCCCGAATCCCTTACCACCGTAGGTTTCTTTGAATAGAAACCGTAGGTGTAAGTGACCGTGGTGGGCTTCTCTAAACATATGCTCGGTCAGCTGGTGGTAGCTCCAGCCTCCCTCTTCGTCGAATTGTGGGAGCTCGGGATGCTCCATGGTCATCTGCGCTTTCTGGTTCTCCCATCGCTGCATCAGCCGGTCCATAGTGGTTGTTGACGTCCGGATCTTCTGAATATCGTCCGGTGTCCAGGATCTGTTTGCCCTTGTGTGGTGGGCCGAGTGCGGTGGTTGCGACGCGCTTTTTTTAAGTGTCAGAATCGTTCTGTGAATACCCTAAGGGTGATTACAGTACGTTTCTAACCTTTCCAAAATGTCATGAACTCTCAAATCAGCCCTGCAAAATACTCAAAATAAATAAAATAATTTTCATAGAGTCGAATTTGCTCGGTTCATCTATGTTGGTCAAGTAATTTGCTCGCATTACATTTTCCACACAAAAAATATGAAAGTGTTTCTTTTTACGCAAATTTTAAACGATAATATTGTTATGTCTAGACGAGGTGGTGTTATGGCTAGACGCAATAATGTTTAAAATACTGTCGCGTAGGAAAACGTTGGGTCTTAGTCAGGAGGTAAGCAGAGGTTGGTTAAAGGAATAACGCTTTTATTATATCCGGTGTGTTTAGGTACATAACTAAGTTTCTTACCTTGTCAGGACAGGGCTTAGAGGAGATTTTATGAATGAGTCTCAGGTGTTTGTACTTGATTTAGATTTATTATTTGAAAGAACAATTTTAGAGTACAATTCCGGTTCTGAGTAACCAGGTAGCGAAACTTAGAAATAATAAAATAGTACTATACTACAGAATTACTGAACTACTACTGCTTACTTGCGGATCCTGATCCAGCCTTTTTTGCGATATACCACATGCTGACGTCCTCCTTCCCTTTATTTTTGCCAAATTAGGATGTGATGAGTAATGCTATGGAGAACGTGCTTAGCCTAATCTATTTCGCTAGATAGATTTACAAATCTTCCCGGGAAAGTTGACAATTGGTATGATAGGAAATTAAATTACCGATACCTGATCAGTTAATATAGCCCGTCACGTGCGTTCTATTAGTATCGATGTGACAACATCTTACCAAAATATCAATATATGTTCAATCCTAAGATCTTCAAAAATTACTCGCTATTATAAAAAATTTGTCCTGTGATAATATATTTAAAAAGTACATTCCTTTTTTAAAGAAATTTAAACAATATATATATATACTGTAAGGAGAATCGCTTGTTATTGTCCTTCGCCAGCGTCGCAAGCACATATTATTATTATTATTACATATTACAGCTAGATACTCGTATTACAGCTAGATAGAGTAGGCATGCCTATGAGGGTGTGTCCACACGGTATCCCTGTTCCTTCCTGACCCTGGAGCCGTCCCCGTCCGAGATTTTATATGCACACGCCATCTCTATAACTTCGAGCTCAATGATAAGTTTCGTGATACTTTCATAATGAATGTGACATCATAATTTATGAACTCGAAATTATAGAGATGGCGTTGTGCGCACATCCACAAAGGAAAGAGAGATGCACGAGCAGGCAAAAACCGGCATTCATTCGTTCGTTGTTATTCGACTAGAGAGAAAGGGCAAGCAGGATCGTCCTTAACAAGAACAACTGAGATGCACGATCAACAACGAACGCAACGAATTGAAAAGACCATTAGCAGAGATATCGAGAGGCGAACTCCCAGCTGTTTTGCATCATTGTCTTCTTTATGGCCAGAATACTCACCCTTGAGAACGACGTTCTAGCCACCGACGATCCTTGTAGCCTATGAAAGAGTTTTTGGTCTTCGTCAAGTAAGTCGCGTGCATCATACCGCCGCTCCGAAATAGCCAAGTTGTACGGTCGTGTTGTTATCATTGTAATCTCGTTCCGTCGTACCGCTTTAGCTGCGGAGTCCGTTACGGCCAACGATTTACTTATACATAAGCCACAAATACCTAATAGATTAACCCAAATACTTTAACCCAAGCTTTGAGCCTTCATTTTATTAATATAAACAACTGCCAGCGTAAAATAATTTTATTGTAGCGATAGCCTTGAGGAAAATCGTTGGACTCGCGTTCTCAGGATCTTGATTGCGACCCTACTCGTAGTATTTTTTTTTATTGACAATCGTGTGTCATTCATTTTATTACCAGTACAACAGGTTACCAGCACCAAGACACGCTCTCACAGCACAAAGAAAAATAAAAGGTATTTATTGAAAAAGTGAAATTTAGAGTGCCCGCGTAAAAGAGGTGCAGTGAATTCCCGGTTCAATGATTGTTCGTGCAAGAGAGTGAAACTTATAGTGATTTACTTTATATTTTATAATATATACACATATATTATATTAAAAATATCAAACTTAGAGTGACGCGAAAAAAAAAGAAAATTAGAGAAACAGATTACTTTTTAGAGACGACGGAAAACATCAATGTTGAAATAGCGGAACAGAAAAGTGCGGATTTTCTGTTGCGAAATTAAAATGAAGGCATGCGACTGCGAGTGAGATAAAGTAAAAAATATAACCGAGACATTAGAGAACGGCATAAACGCGAGTGACTCGAGAATGTCCTAGAGTAGTTGCATTGCAACGCCATTT